TCCTTCCCGAGAAACAGACTCTGCACCAAAAAAATGACGCTGGCACTTCTATGGTGGCTCAGCCGGATAAAGATTTCACTCATTAATTTTAAATTGCAGTGTTGGCAATCGTCCACAATGAAAAGCTTTTTCTTGCCGTCGTCGGGGATGTCCGTTATTGGCCCCTCGACCAGAGTGACGTTCTTTAATTTTTCAAATTCGGGCTGCCAGGAGGTATAATGGTAGTAAATGGAGTCAAATTCCGCGTCATAATAGAGACTCGGATTTTCGAGTAACTTGAAGACCATGTAACTTTTGCCCGATCCGCTTGGAGCGAATGAAATCGCACAAACGGGATGTGGAAATTTATTACGCATATTGGATTTTTGTTGCCCGAGAGCTTTCGTCGCCTGAGGAAAGTCTGAATGTAAAATAATGTGCCTTGCAAGTTGGTGTTTATTTTTATATTTTCAATGGCGCACGCGCCTTTCGGAGGAAAAAGATAATTAAAACTTGCGGCAAAATTAATATTTCTTTTTACATTTTGCAGATGATAAATTATACTTATTGTTTATTTGTTAATACGTCACATTGCTTTTTTTATTTTAGAAAACATTATTCACGGTCTTTTGCTTCACCTGCTCGTTTGCGCATGTTCCTTTTTATCAACACCAAAAGCTTATATAAATGAAGAGTTCACGCAGTTTTCTTTATTAGTCAAGATGACTCTGACCAGCATTTTGTACTGTGTAATTTATTCCATTTCTCAAGTTTTGATTCCGGGGCAAACTTGCAGAAGAGCGCCGCGAGGACTGCTGCACACCGTCACCGAAGGCCTTGGTGGCATGGATTCATTTCTTGTACTCTTAGCAATATTTGCAATTGTTTTAAAATTTATGTTACGTATGCTGATGCACCGTCTTTGTTGCCGTACTTAAACGACGAAATTATTTGCAAGCAAAATTAAATTTCCATTGCCTCAGAATTAAATTATTTTGTGAATGTATTTATATTATTAAAAGCTTTCATATTGATGTTGATTATTTTTTGTCGGAACCATTTTTTTTTGTTACTGCCCTATTTAAATTTCATGTATGAAATTCAATAATAAAGATAATAAAATTACCGCGAGATGAAAAAGAAAACTATGATTATAGCGGAGAAAATTATAATCCGCTGGCGCGCTGTGTCGCGAGCCGAACACACAAGGCAAGAAAAAATCTGCAGAGAGAAAGCAGGGCCCAGGAGGGGCCGCGTCTGCACCCGTCAACGTGATTTGGCCGCGCGCGACAAATTATGTCACGCCGAAAATGAATAATGCTTTGTTTTTCCACCTGCAACAGGCGCAGGCTTCAAAAGCGCCGGGTCAGGTGCCGACGTTTTGCGGCCAAGACAGGGGCTAAGAAAAATAAAAACATCCGTCTCAATGCACCACCCAAGTGCGGGTAAAACAATCGCGCACAAAGCACACGCTTGCGCGGGTTCGACGACACACCAACATATAAAGCGAGGTACAGCCTAGCCCCGAGTGCATTATGATCTGAGCAGCACCCCAAAAGCCGATGCAGCCGATGTAAAAGTGTAAAAGAATGCATTTGGGGCCATTGGTCAATTAAATGTCTGCATTTATTGCACACAAAATAAAAATGAATGTTACGACGTCTTTCAAGCACGCGGCAATTAAGCGTGGAATTGATTTTTCATTTTTAGAATCATCATCTAGAGACTTTTTATTGACTTTGATTTTCAACAAAAAATTTCATTTATTTATGCAAAAATAAATTTGTAATATCTAATAATTTTTTATCTTTAATTCAAATTAAATCAGAGAGCTAATCATACGCAATTAGTTAAATACTGTGTCAAATTATCAACATAAATATATTAAATTATGAGTCGAAATTAAATTTTTGCTTAATTATTATTTTTATATCAATATGCAAATTAGCTAATTTGAATGAACGTATAGCGTTATCCCCATTTATTATCTACTTGATCTAACATAAAAAAAGTATTTTCTGAATCTGAATTACTACTTATACAAAATTGTTCTGTATATTGACTCAATCAAACTGATTTCAAACAGAGGTTATATATTAAATGTGAATGCTCCAAACACACCAAAAAAAAAACGGCCAACCAACTATGTATTCTACAGTGAGAAATCATTATTAAAACGATTAATTTGTAGATGAGAGGGGCAAAATATACAGAAACACATTTTTAATTACTTTTTTAAATGAATATTGTTTTCACAATTTTTACCTCCACATTTTCATCCCTCCCTTTCACCCTAAAATTTTTAATTACAATCGTTCACCAAACAACATCGAAAGCGGCGGATTGACGGCGGGGCGAGAGTGGGGCTTGTTGGCAAAATGCACTTTGCACTTGCAACCGATAGGTATGTGGAGGTGGGGATTGCGTTCACTTCCCGCGGGTAGCGATCGAGTGTGTAGTGGCCCACAAACTTTTAAGGGCGACGCACTTTTTACTTGTTATTTGCGTGGTGTTTAGATTAGATCAAAATTTATTCCATTAGACATATATAGTACATCTCCAATTTGTCCGGGCGACCTCGCCAATTGGGTCGCGCCGCGAGCCATCACTCACTGAAAGAAGGAACCACCACCACTACATCGAGGGACAATATAATCGACGAGTATACCGAGTTTGATTTAAGTGCGGCAAGTGCGCAAAAGTTCCTCAATCACTTAATGTTTCATTTAGTTGATTGGTTAAAACTAATTATTATTATTATAATGACCTGTTGTAAAGGCAAATTGGAGATGTGCTATATATGTCTAATGCAATAAATTTTGATCTAATCTTATCTAATCCTGTTCTTTCCCCTTTATTTTTTTTCATAAATGGTTCACTAGCGCAAATATACATTATTCTCAAATTACGAATTGAATATAAAAAAAAATTCAACTAACTCCATTTGCAAATTATTGTTATTATTATTATTGTTTTTTTTTTTTTTTTGCTTATAGCACCCGAAATATTATTTCGACCAAAATAATATAATTAACTAAATTAGCCCAGAACAACGCGGTTTTCAAAAGGGGAAAAGTACAGTAACAGCTTTATTTGACTTTGCAAAACAGGTACATGCTTCAATTGACGCACGCGAAAAAATTAACGTAATCCTGAATGACTAACGCCTCATTTTCTATCGCCTTCGGTACTTTTTACCCCCAATTACTATTACGCAAACTAAAAATCTATGGTGTTACAGACGATGCAATTTCATGGTTACACTGTTTCCTTATACAAAGAGAACAATATGTACAAATACGAGATACAGACTGCGACGGAACAGAAATAATAATTAATTCGGAGAGACAAGTATCAGATATGGGGGTGCCGCAAGGTACAATTCTGGGTCCAACTAGTTTTGTTTTGTACACAAATGACCTGTCACTTCGGATTTGAATTGCTATTTTGATCCTTTTTGCTGACGAATCCACAGTGTTAGTTACAGGGAAAACCATACAACAAACAAATATAAACACTATCAAAACTAATAAAGATATTGTCGAGTTTGCTGACGAATTCCTGTTAAAAATCAATGCTAGTAAGATTAAGGTTATGCAGATAGTACGGGTATTGAAGCAGTAAATTAAAATAAACAACTAGGAGTGTAGGAGTGGCAATAAATGATACAATGAATTGGCACCTACAATGTGAAAGAGTGGCAAATAAATTGAGAAGTGTGACACATCTTTTTACTATATTGCGCGATACAGTGTCAGAAAGTTCACTTAAAACTGTATATTATGCATATGCCCAAAGTCAAATATTGTATTCTATCGTGATTTGGGGAGCATCACCACACATGCAAAAAGTGTTCGTCGCTCAGAAGCGTGTTGTCAGAGCAATGACTGGGCTGAAGTATTGGAGAGGAAATTGTGCGCTTGATACATGTAGGCCACTGTTTGCTAAATATGGTATATTGACTGTTTACTCTCTCTATATATTAGAATGTATGAAATTCCTTATAAATCATCCTGAAAAATTTAGAAAAAAATCAGAAATTCCAAATTGTATGAGTCCGAAAACAAAAAGTGCAAAAAGCAAGCACTGTGTAAATGACCTATATGTCGAGATTGAAAATCACTTGGATATATTAAACCAAAATCCTGTAGTTATGATAGCAAGAATATTCAACTCTTTGCCTGTTAGTGTAAAAATGACTGTGGAAAGTAACGACTTTATTAGCAAAATAAGAGAAATTGTATATAAGTATCAATATTATGACATGAACGAGTTTTTCAGTTGTAAATTTGATTTGTAAATTGTTATAAATATGTGAATGACGTATTTTAAAAGTTGTCAATTCGTTCACGACTTAATGAAATAAAAATGATTCCGAATCTGAATCTGAGCTTATTAGGCTATTGGGTCGGTCTCTTGCCGAAGTCGAGCACCCTTGGCATATTTGTGCTTCCCAACCAAACTGACCCCTGGTCGGGGGCATTCTAGCAGATTTGTTGGTGCCCTCCACCCCCCTTGAGACCTTACTTGCCCCGGCCTTGCCACGAGGGACTTGGAATGAAACGCAGGCATTCGCCACACAAGCCGAGTTCTTCCAGCTCGTGGCTTGGAGGAAACGTGGCAAACCTCCGAGTGCAAGTCGGTACAGCTTGCGCCATACCTCCCGAACTCCCGACGTGTCAGCCAAAATGTTATCAATGATTCGCATTTCACAAACAGCCTCAGGCTTAGCACATTGATCCCATGACGGCCGAGGAACTTACTGATTAGAATTCAAGCATTCTAACAACTGGCCACCGGGCTTGGTTAAAATTATTGTTTGTTTTCATATGTTTGCAATTTAAAACTAATTTTCAACTGATTGGCCGAAGTTTTATTTATTATGAGCCGATCCCAAGAAACGTACCCTGAAGAAATAGTTGAAGAAGCTTACCTCTACTTAGGAAAAAATTTATTTTATGAAAAATGTTAGTTATTAAATAGAGATGACTTTGAACAAAATGTTTTTTATTTAAACTTACTTGTCCAGCAGCTCATTTTTTCTTCCATCACCAGATTCCTCATCTAATTGTTCGGAACTGGAACTGATTCCATTCAAAAGAGGAGCGTCCGGGGTTGCTGAGCGCATAGACGCGGCTGAAGCACCGGTGGCAGTATTCCTCCTCCTTAGCAGCAGCAGATTCCTCAGTCTAGAAGCAGTGCAAGGCAGGTTGGCTGTCAGACTCTGGCAGTCATAGTGGGCAAAGGCCCGTCTCCGCTGTCTCTCCTTCTCATCCTCAAAAGACGCAATGACCGCCAAATCTTCGTCACCCTGCGCCTTTCCACGCAGCTTCTTGAAGATGCTTGGCGGCTGCTCCACCTCTTTCTTTGCAGACTTTTCACCCCAGAACTTGTGCAGCTTTGTTTTCATCTTTGGGCTAGCTGCATCGAGTTCAATCTCAGGGGGGCCCATGAAGGCGCCAGTCATCATGGGGATGGTACTGGCCACTTCCGTCTGCTCCACCCTGCCCCTGAGGACGTCGGCAATTCTGGCAGGTCCGGGACTGCGCTGGTCTGGCGGGGCCTTACATTTAAAGTCCTGAAGGAGAGCAAAAAAACTGCCTTGGCCTGGACTGGGGCCGTCACCTAACATATCTATGGAACCATGGCTGCCATATTCTCTCCGAAGAGGACTAGGCGAAACCTGGAAGATTTCTTGGATTAGAATGATTGATAAAAGCAGGCATTATTCCATTTTTTTTTCTAATGAATGGAAAATAATATTTTTGATATGGATTTTTTCAAAAGTATAACATCAAACATTCACAAAATTTGGACTATAGAATAGTTGAACACAAAGGACTTAAAATTTACCATCTATACATCTGATCAGTGAATCTAATATTTATCAATAACTGTTTACTAAAGCAACAGATCTGCTGCCGAAAATAATTTCCGAGCAACATATAAAGCGATAACATGTAATAAGATTAGATAGGTTATATACCTCATCCTGCTCCACTTCTAAACTCGAGTTGCTGCGGTAGACAAGCTCCCGAACAGGGGCAGCTGCTGCCAACGGGGCTGCCAATGGATGATGATGTTGATGACTGGGCTGGTACCTGGAGGCCAGACGCTCATTATACGACGCCCGGACACCACTGAAGCGGCCCCGCCCGCTAGCTGTGGTCCCTGAGGCCGGTCCGGCCCCACTGTTCCTGATAACCTCTCGCTGGGGAGTGTGCGGCCCCAATGGGTAGTATTCGGCCGAGGCTCGGCCGCCAGGCCCGACGGCCAGAGGAGCGGCCACTGTACCGGCGCTGCTCATCCTGTCCAGAGCTTCCCAAGCCTGAAGCAGAAAGAAAATAATAATTTTTGTTAAATTAGGGCTCTAAAACATATGTACGAAATTCAGTTATTTAACACCAAAAATATCAAAATATTTAATTCCCCAATCCCACCTTTCCTTTTTAGTTTTCAGCCATTTTCATCATCATTGCGTGGACCATCATGCGAGGAAAAATTTTATTTTTAAATTATTATTATTGTTGTTTATTTGTCCAAATTGTTACATCACATTGTTTACATACAGATTGTTTGAATAAAAAAAAGAATAAATTGTTTGGTGTTTTCTGAATCTGAATCTGCAAGAGGCCTGACCCTAAATATAACTGTTGTGTTATTTTTAAATCCCACTCTATTTTATTTGATTCGTTAAGGAAAAACATGATTGTTTTTTTCTATTACATTTATTTTGAAAAGAAAATAAAAAAAATGTTTAAAACCAAAGTTGAAAGTTGAAACGCGTCAGGTCAATGTGGCGAGCGCATACCTTTTTTTGGAGCGTTTGAAAAAAAGCGTTTTTTTATGCTGTATTCTCTCTATTTCATTTTACACAGGATATTGGAATACAAATCAACGGAACAAAGACATATATCAACGTTCTTATTAATCATATTATTATAATTTTACTTCTTAAGGAAATTTTAAAAAATTTCTAAATTTTCACGAAACAAAAGACAAAACCAAACATATATAAATCGTCACAACCATTCTGCAATGATAGAAATCTTGATATCCAGAATTTTTGAGGAACAATTCAGGATACTTTTTGTAAAATTTAACACATTCAAAGGCATACACAGAGAAGGCTGGCAGGATCTGAAATTCTTCAAAAATTGGTCGCAAGACTCAACAGGTGTCAATGCCTTCCAGTATCTTTTACCTGCCATCGCACGGATAACTCTCTTTTGAGCAATGAAAACCTTTTCCAACATAGGCGACCCACCCCAAATTACAATTGAGTATAGTAAGTGACTTTGAACATGGGCGAAATATACATTTCTTAGCAATTTAGTTTGAATGTGTAGTTTAGGCTGCAGTGCGGCGAGTAAACGGGTATTTATCGCCTCTTGGTAAATACGCGGTTATGAGTTTCAGTGAGATGTTCACTAGCACTGTGTGCCTATTTTTCTCCCAACCAATTTTTTCACAATTGATTGTACCGACTTGTTTGGAGAAAAATAAATTGAATTGAATTGAATGCGCTGCCTTAATTTAACAAAAAGGTACGTGGTACTTCTCAGTTTCGCTACAACCTGATCGCATTGGGTGCTCCAGTTCATTGTATCAGAGAGCATTACCAGTGGCGGCAATAAGGGTGGGAAGAGCGAAAGTTTCCACGGGCCCCTGGGCCCGGAGGGCCCCGCAAGGGGCCCAGACAACCCTAGGAAAACATTGAAAAAAATCGGAGGCGACGAGCCGAGGCGCGAAGGCCCGAGGCCCAGTCGGTCGGCCGTCGGCCTGCCGATTGCGGCTTCAGGCTGCCAGCTATTTTTGATAAAAATTAAAAATTAATCATTATTTAATGTAATTCATACACGCATGTAAAGCAATGGGCAAACCATTTTTCTTAAAACACGTACTCTAGAATTATTTATTTTAATGCTTTTTGACATATTTAAAACGTTTTAACTTTCAGAAACAAACTTTTGTCTCAATAATTAGCTACATAAAATTTTTATGCAATGAAGTGAAAAAATGAAATAAAATTAAGCTATTCATCTACGCCAAGTCCCGATGTCCCGATCCAGAATAATTTTTTCTGGCTAGCGTCTAAAAATTTCGTATAGATCATTCTAATCATATCTAGCTGCGTTTTGCGTACAGTGACAGTGATTTTTACCCCCACACCCCTAGATCCACCCTCGGTTCTTTTCTTGAGACCAAAAAATTTAATGGTTTCTGGCGATCATCTCAAAATCTCGGGTAGGTCATCCTGATCATTTCTATCTAGTTTTTGCGAACAGTGATTTTTACCCCTGCACCCGTAGATCCGCCCTTCCGAGATGATCGAACCTAAAAAATGTCATCGTTTGTGGCGACCGTCTAAAAATCTCGGATAGGTCATTCTGATCAATTCTAGCTAGTTTTTTCGAACAGTGATTTTCACTACCCTTGCACCCCTAGGCCTAGATCCGCCCTTTCGAGACGATCGAGCCTAAAAAATTTCATCGTTTCTGGCGACCGTCTAAAAATCTCGGATAGATCAATCTGATCAATTCTAGCTAGTTTTTGCGAACAGTGATTTTTACCCCTTCACCCTTGAATCCGTTTAAATACACGATTTATGCTGCATTACACCAAGTATTTTTGCTTGATTTACCACTTCTATTTCTCGTCGTTAATTCTGATTACAGGTGGTTCCAATTTACTAGTTTGAGCAGTATGCATTTGCAGCACCTGAGTTTTCTATTCGTTCAATCTTAAGCGGTTTTTACTGGCAAAATCAATCATTTTGTCATTAGTCACAGCAGTTTTTTCGTTCAAGGCTTTGTAGTTTCTAGCCTTTACAATGAAAGATGAATCATCTGCGAACAAGATAAGAGCGGCGACAATGATTTTTAAGGGCATATCATTACCGTAGGAGGAATAGCCAAAAGGGCCCAATACTGTTCCTTTTGGAACGCCAATCGAGACATTTTCCATTGTTGATTCAAATAATTTTGCTCGCCATTTTCACCCACACCAAAAAATTGAACAAGTTGTTTTCTATCAGTAAGAAAGGACTTTAACCATAGGAGGGATGCATTATCAATTCCAAATTTTTTCAGTTTTGCAAGCAGTATTTCGGGAACGACACACCCAAAGGCATTAGAAAAGTCATACAGAATCACATTGATTTTTTCTCTATTTTCCAACGAATCGTAGATTTGGGACACTAACTTAAAAAGTGCAGTCACTGGCTGTGCTCCTGCCTTTTCGAAAACCGTGCTGCTCGTCAGCAAGGAGATTGTTTTCAGCGAAATAGCTTTCAATTCTATTAAGGAAACATTTCTCAAATACTTTTGCTACAGAAGATGTTTAGGCTATTGGGCGATAACTACTAGCATCGGATTTCTCACCCTTCTTTTTGTACAATGGCTTGATTACAGTTAATTTAGCACTTCCGGGAATTTACCCGTGCGAAACGACTCATTCACCATAAATGCCACAGGGAACACTATATAACCAGAAATCTTTTTCAACGTATCCATAGATAATCCATCCCAGCTAGATGATTTCTTTGACAGGAATAACCTCAAAATTTTTTCTTTTTCAAACGTCAGGCTGAGCAGCAAATTTTATTAGTAACTGGACTGAATTTTTCCACCTCTTAAGTACAGAAAGTTGGACCGAAGTTTATGAAAGTAATAATATTGATGACATGTGCTGTAAATTCATGGATAAGCTTACATACTTTGAAATGAGCTTCCCAAAGGAGAAAATATTAATTAGAGTAAATAGGAAAAATAATGCCTATTCTGAGTTTCTTCGTAAGCAAAAGGAAGAATTAAGGCTCTTGGGTTCCCAAATATCTACATTAAAAAATAATGCTCCTAACTGTTACAGATTAAGAAGTCTTAAATTCAAATATAAAAGTAAACAGAAGTACGTTGGCTTTCTCATAAATGATGCAATCCGAACTCACAATGACCAGAAAATGTTAAAAGCCTCTAATAAGACTGGTATGGCCTGGAAAATTATTAACGAAACTTGCAACTTGAACCAAGATAAACACGAAAATGATATTAAGCAAATTGAAATTGATGGTGAAATGGAAAAGAATTTGCAGAAAATTTGCAACTTTTTAAATAAGAAATTTGTTGAACCTCAGGTAAATCTTAGTAGTGATGAAATTGAACTCTGTACTGAGAGTATTGTTTCAAATGGAATAAAATTTACTGCTCAGCCTGACGTTACCCCATTTGAAATAGAAACTTTTTGAAGTTATTCCCGTCAAAGAAATCATCTAGCTGGGATGGATTATCTATATGGATACGTTGAAAAAGATTTCTGGTTATATAGTGTTCCCTGTGGCGATTTATGGTGAATGAGTCGTTTAGCACGGGTAAATTCCCGGAAGTGCAAAAATTAACTGTAATCAAGCCATTGTATAAAAAGAAGGGTGAGAAATCCGATGCTAGTAGTTATCGCCCAATAACCTTAACATCTTCTGTAGCAAAAGTATTTGAGAAATGTTTCCTAAATAGAATTGAAAGCTATTTCGCTGAAAACAATCTCCTTGCGGACGAGCAGCACGGTTTTCGAAAAGGCAGGAGCACAGTGACTGCACTTTTTAAGTTAGTGTCCGAAATCTACGATTCGTTGGAAAATAGAGAAAAAATCAATGTGATTCTGTATGACTTTTATAATGCCTTTGGGTGTGTCATTCCCGAAATACTGCTTGCTATTATTACTATTTATTCTTCTCGGTCTGTACAAAAATTTTAAATTGAAAAAAAATTGCAAAACTGAAAAATGATGATCGCTCGAATTTATAACCACTTGCCTGCCGAGTTAAAACAAATTGAAGACCAAAAGACATTCACCCTGAAACTTAAACAAGTGCTCAGTGAACACAACTTCTATCACATACACGAATACCTACTGTGCAGTTTAGACAAGTGAAATTTCTCGCGCTAATCTTATAGTTTTTTACCTTTGCCTAAGCAACGGGTTTTTTCTCTAACTTTTAATTTTAGACCTGACATGTTCTAAAGACTACAACAACAATAAACTGGAAATGGGGCGCGCTCTTTCACCTGAATATATTGCAAAGTCAATTTCTCATTTACAAATTGAAATAAATTTTTAGTAGATCATGGTTGGTAATTGACAATAAAGAAGAGAAAACAATTTAAAATATATGCTGGAACGATTTTTTTTTTTTTTTTGTAAGTGGTGTTGTATGCTGATTTCATATTTTTCTTGTTCTCCAGTACATGTTTTGCAATGTTGTATGAATATGGTGAGTAAATAAACAAAAACAGGAAGCGGCCGGAAAAACGTCCTTTGTCAAGAGGGGAA